ATAATGCTCCTGTATATTCTCTTATTGATCTTCATCTCAAGAGCAACATGGTGTTTCTCCAATCACATTTCAAAGTCTTCTGCAGATACACTACACCTCCCATCCCACCCCTTTTTTTCACTTAGAGAATCCTTTGTTCCTGTCATGGGGCAGGGAGCAGTCCCTTTTCAGCCCCAACTGCCTCAGGCAAATGCTACATTAATGTATTTTTCCCCACCCCTGGAGACTGAACTTTTTGCACTGTGAGCTGAAAAAGTGGAGTGCCTGACATGCCAAATAGTGACAATTCTTTGAGGTGAGATATTTAAGGATTTAAAAACTGTTCTTTAGGGGAGCTCCAAATTTCTTTTGGGGAAACTTCATGCCCCTCCATCTAGTGGCTGGTAGTCTGCTGTTTTTCATCGCTATCACAGTTAAGAGACTATTATTTTCAAGGTTAGCCTGAAGATGCAGAAAAGGGACCTGGGCAAGTTAAAATACTACAAAACTTGTCGCAGCATTTAAATGTTCTTCCAGTTGTTAGAAGAAGTTTTTTGTTAATTCTAGCGCTCTGAAAAAGCTGATTTTGCCTTTAACACTGTTCTTGTTGCTTTTATGGAACAGTGACTTTTCAGAAATCCATACTGCACTAAAGTTCTGGTTTTGGAGGGGTTTATTTGGTGGTACTGGTGGGTTGAACTCCTGGCCTTGCACTTGTAGTTGGGCACTCTCTGCTTGAGCCACGTCTCCTGCCCCGGGGAAGTTGCATTTTTTTATAATTATGCATCTAAGATTAGCACATGAAAGGCATACATTCAGAAATCACAATACTGCTAAGTAGAAATCTAATAGGAATTTAAGAGATGCCTTCTCATCTGGCACTCCAATTATTTCAGGTATGGCTCTCCAAGTCAGAATCCTGAACCTCAACTTTCTCAAATGCTCAAGGGAAATAATGTCTTCTTCATAGAGTTCAAAGGATTAAAAGTGATCATGTTAGGCAGGAGCCACGAGGCCCGCAGCTAGACCTAGCTTTCTTGGCCGGATCCCTGTTGGGCCAGTAGGTTGGAGAGACTGTTGGGGGCAGGTGGCTCCAGCCCCAGGTGGCTGGGGCTCCCTGGGGCTCTGGAGACTGCAGCCTGGGTTGAGCAATATCCAGTGCAAGCACAAGCCACGTCGTCCTTCCTCTGCATGCTCAAGGGCCCGCAGCCACTGAGAAGCCTGGCTTGTGCAGGGAGCTGGGGAGCACATAAGAGTCAGGCTGGAGCACGCCCCACATTGTGAAGTTTGGGGGAACTGAAGTGATGGGCGGCAGTGCCTTTTATGCTTGGGAATTAGTAACTTTGGACATATGCAGTGTCTCACAGAGTACAGCTCCCCACACACCCCATGTCCTCCCATGCACTAACTGACTGCCACCATCCCACCCACCGGCAAGTCCTGACCCCCTCGTGGGCTATCTTAAGCAGAACTCCCAAGTCAGGTTGTTTCTTCTGTGAATATTTCAGAATGCACCTCTACAAGATAAGGGCTCTTTAAAACATAGTCACAAGACAACATCCTCCAACAGGAGTAATTTCTAAGTAACATGAAGTGTCTGATAAAGGCATAAATGTCCCCAAAAAAAGACAATGTAAGATTTACTATGAAGCTATAGTAATCAACAATGTAGCACTGGCATAGGAAAAGACATACAGACTAGTGGCATACAAAGCCCAAAAATGAATCCTTTACATAGAATGCTCAACTGATTGTGAACAAGGTTACCAAGACCATTCAATGGTGAATGCACTATTCTATGATTGAGAACACTGAGTATCCACATACAAATAAACAAGTTGGGCCCTGACCTTTCATGGCATGCAAAACTCAAAGAACTGAGTGTAAGTTAAAATGAAACTCTAAAACTCGTAGAAAAAAACAGGGACATGTTCTTGACAGTGGATTGTATAATGACTGCAACATGACAGCAAAAGCTCAGCCCACAGAAGGAAAAAAAAAAAAATACAGTGAGCTTAATTAAAATTAGTTTTTTGTGGTGGTACAGAGGTTTGAACTCAAGACCTCATGCTTGCTAAGCAAGCACTCTGCCACTTGAGCCACACCCCTAGCCCCAAATTTAAAAATTTTTGTACATCAAGACACTTACCAAGAACAAAAAACTAACTTAAAATAGACAAAGGAGTTAGGCTCAAGCTGTAATCCAAGCTACTCAGGAGACAGAGATCAGAGGATCCCCAGCCAGGGCAAATAGCTGGTGAGACCCTAACTTGAAAATTACCAACACAGAAGGGCTGGTGGAGTAGCTCAAGCGGTAGGAGCACCTGCCTAGTAAGCAGGTGGTGAGTTCAACCCCCAGTACCACCAAAATAAAACAGGCAAAGGAGCCAGGCAACAGTGGCTCACACCTGTAATCCTAGCTATTCAGGAGGCAGAGATCAGGAGGATTGCAGTTTGAGGCCAGCCAGGGCAAATATTTGGCGAGACCCTCTCTCAAAAATACCCAACACAAAAAAGAACTGGTGGAGTGGTTCAAACGGTAGCCTAACAAGTGTGAAGCCCTGAGTTCAAACCCCAGTACTGCCAAAAAAATAATAAATAGGCAAAGGAGCCTGGGTACCTTAAGAGTTACTTAGGAGGCAGTGGCAGAAAGTTGAGCCCAGGAGCTTGAGGTCAGTCTAGGCAACACAGTGAGACCCACAGATGGGGGTGGGGAAGAGAGGTAGCTCAGTGATAAGAGGCCCTAAGGTCTGATCCCAAGAACCTCAAAAAACAGATCAGGAAAAGATTTGAATACACATTTCTGTACAGAAAATACACAGATGATCAATTAGTATGCAAAACAACGCTCAACATGTCATTAGGAAATGCAAATCCAAACTACAATGAGAATACACCTATTACAACAGTTATTATAGGGGTAACAATTAGGACTGCTATTAAAAAACAAGGTAACAAGTGTTGTAGAGGTTGTAGAAAACTGGAACACTTATTCATTGCTGGTGGCAATGGAAAATGGCACAGCCACTGTGGAAACAGTTTGTGGTTCCTCAAAAAATTAAATACAAAATGAATGAGGTGGCAACTCCATTCCTATTATATACCCAAAATAAAAAGCAGGAACTCACTGCAGTATTAAAGTAGCAAAATGTGTCCATCAACAGATGAATGGATAAACAAAACGTGATATAATACAGAATGTATTATCCAGCCACAAAACACAATGAAATTGATACATGCTATTACACAGAAGAATCCTGAAAACATTGTGTGATTTCACTTATATGAGTTACCTAAAATAGTCGAATTCAAAAAAAGAACAGAGGTTATCAGGAAGTTAAGTAGAGTTTATGGGGAGTAATTATTTACTGTGTACAGTTTCTGTTTCAGATGATGAAAAAGTTCTAGAAAGATAGTGGTGACCGTTCTGCCACACTGTGAATTTACCTACTACCACTGAATTGAAGACTTAAAAATGGTTAAAATGAACTGGGCAGGATGGTGTGCGCCTGTAGTCCCAGTTATTCTGGAGGCTGAGGGAGGAGGACTGCTTGAGCCCAGAATAAGGACAGCCTGGACATAGATCCCATATCCCCACCAAAAAGGATAGAAATAGTAAATATGGCTATGTGTTACCATAATAAATTTTAAAATGATATTGTAGCTAAAAGCCTTCATCACATTTAACGAGCCAAAATGAGCCAATGGTTACTGAAATTGCTTAGATAATACCTTTGGAAAGCCTTGTTCGTAGTGACAGCCAACAGTACCTCTCCTCCCCCTGCCACCACACACACACACACCCACATCCACATCCACACACACACACAACATACACTCAATGCTTTATCAATTACCTACAGTTAAATTTTGCAAAGGATTACACATCCAATGATTTCACTAATGATGCAGTTTATGTCCCTCCCATACTGACATAAAAACACAAACATTCTGTAAGCACAAAGCTTATATTCACAAATAACTTTCTGCTTAAAGATAAAATTTCAATTAATAACCACAATGGTAATTTAGTTATTTAATGCAACCACTAATCTAATATGTCATCAATAAAATCTAAGCAGTTTTATCACAAAATCAGGGTTATATTCAGTGGACATGCATATTAATTAGCTATACAACTTAACATTACACCAGAAAAAGAATTGAATATAAAAGGTCTCTTAATTTTTGGTAGTTTTGAAATTTCATGGCACAGATTACCAAAAAAACTGTAAAAACAGATTTCAAATATTTTCAATAAAATGGTAAAAAATTGAATAAGCCTTTAAGTTTTCATAATTGGCTCAAGATTTAAAACATCAAGCTGCCCAAATCTGTCAAAACTGACAGGTAAATATTTACAATGACTAGACAGACTTTAGTTACAATGGTACAGGAGGCCTACTCCCTCCTATTAAAACCCTTTGGGGTTAAATTTCTCAATGCAAACATGTCTTTCTAAATACTGTGATAATATAAACTTGAGGAGACATACCTAGAGTCAGGTAGGAAATGAAAAATAAGACACAAGTCAATCTTGTTTCTGACTGGTCAGCACAAAGCCTTCTGGCCCCCAAACAGCCAACACTGTTTCTTGATGTAAAACTAAGAAGAGCAGAATGGCTTTACCCTATTGGCTGACATTTTTCTACAGAGTTATCTTTCATTACATATCAAGCAGGGTTCAAACTCTAGTAACCTGCTTCTATAGTGTAATAAGCAGAGCACCAAATTTATAAACTGATATGGCAACTCAAAAAACTATAAAGCACACTTTTCAAACAAAACCAAAGTTTTGTTTTGCTTTTTCTCCATTGTTCTATGTGCCATGTTATTTTTGACTCTTAAGTGGCTACCAATAAGAAAAGAATTAGGGAAACTTTGAACATATCTGGTACTTTTCATCAAGGCTAAAGTGCAAAATATCTCTATCTCTGGTATTTTAATAGGAAAAACATCAACCATAATAAAGGAACTGAAGTGATAGGAAAACTAATACAAAAGAACTCTTAAATATTCAATTGAGGATTACATATTATCAATTTAACTTTTCTTTCTTCGGTGAAGTTTGTTAATAAACCATATTCTCACAGAACTTTAGATTTTGTTTGATTCTCTTCCCCATGACCAGAAATTCCAAACATACAAGGGAAAAAAATGGAAAAAAAGTAACATTGCATGACAATGGACACTGAGTTCATAAAGAACCTCTTTAAAATGAGATATTATGGAAGAAAATACCATGAAAATAATAATCCTATGAGAATCGCTTTTAAGTATAGTAAATGTGAGCCTTGGTCTTCATGAAGATACTACAATTTATATAGAAAACTATAAATATACAAGACTCCAAGGAAAGGGGGTAGGGAAATCAGAATACATATTATTTAACATTCTATAGTCCTAAAAAACTGAGGAGAGAAGGAAAAAGATGCTAACTGGATCTTTACTTAAGAATACAGAACTATGAAAAATTCCTGGGTCAAAGGGTGCTCCAAATGGAACCATACTTTGTGAAAGCACACAACTTAGATATATTACTAAAAGGAAAGAAAAAGCACTGAATCACTGCAGTCCTTTCCAAAAAGTAAATCTTAAATTAAGGAAATGATTCTAATAGTGTAAACGAGTCTGGCTCAGAAATAAAATTGAACATATCCAAGATCTGTCCATAAAAGTTATGATGGTACATGTTTAATATTAAAGAAAGAAGCTATAAAAAGTTCCGTCTCAGAATTGGTTTTTAAAAGCTCATTTGTGCTCCCTGGTGGGTGCATAATAAAGTTCCATGGGTTTGTTCACTTTCCAGTATTTCTCACTGACCAACTCCAAAGAAAAAGAGCCATTTAATACCTAAAACAGAAAAGAAAAGAAAAAATTACGAAAACTGCATGAAGCTCAGTAATAGTGAGATGGAACAAAATACAAGTTCACAGAATCTTTTTTTAAAAAATACTAGTGAGGTTTGAGGGCCCAGGGCTGGCACCAGAAGCTACAATATGGTGGAGGTGGAAAGAGAAAATCTGGGCTCGCGGCAGGGTGAGTAGCTATGGCCACTTCTGCCTCCCTTGGAGCCACCTAGTCACCCCTTCTCACCCTTCACATTCCCTTCCTAGGCTCCCTGACACTCCACCAGCACCATACCATCTTGCCCCTTGGCGAACATGGGCCCTTCCTGCCTTGAGTCTTCACATATCCTTCCACTACTATGCTAGGTGGCAGTGGCTTAAGGTCCCACAGGCCAGGGAAAAGAGAGCGCCAGGTTCTTCCAACTGGCAGACAATAGCACTTTGGGAAGACTGTGGTGAGGCAACTCCAGGCTGTGATTCCAGGAGCCCTTCACTACGATCCCCAAGAAAGGGGAAAACTTAGGATTTGAGCTGCAGGCACAGGTGTGATAGTTGCTACTGACCAATACACACACACACACACGCATTGGGCAGCTTCAGATCTGTGACCAAGAAGTGACTGCTTTGCTCAGGCAAATTGCTTGAAGTAAGAGTAATTTTCCAGAGAGCAACAGTAGAGACCAAAGCTCTGCATGCTTGGTTAAATTCATGTTGGTAGACCCGCCACATCCACACATGGACAACTTAACAAGATAACCCATTCTTAGTAAAGCAGAGCAGTATGAAGCTGTAGCTGTAGCTATGTGTTGCTGTAACTGCTAATTCTCACTGCTATGAAGGAATAATGGTTACCCTTGTTAGCAAGGCAGTTAATATAGTTAATAAGGGTTCACTAATTAGTGAACTTATCAGCCCTTAAATGGAGGGCTCATAAGCAAATTTTCCTAAGGGTTAGACTCCCTGGAAGCCTCTATAAGTGACAACAGAAACTGGACAGGATAAGAAGTCAGGTAAGATGCCTAGGTACTGCCTTGTGCTAGGGTCTCCAGCCTATGAAGTGAAGGCTGATGCCTCAAATTGCTGACCTTTCTTAAGAAACCCCCATCAGAAGGTCAAAGCTGGGCTTTAAGGGAAGCACATCCCAAAAGGGAGTTAAGGTAAATATTATATTTACAAAGCCTGCAAACAGGTCTCAAAGCCTTCTGCATATATGGAACTGTTCTCCAAGGAGTGCAAAGTATGCTACATTTATTAAAATTATTTACCAAGTATCCTAGTTGAGTATGTTCTACCACCACAACTTTTTTTGTGGGGGAGGAGGACAGTACTGGGGTTTGAACTTAAAGCTTCCATGCTTGCAAAGCAGGCACTCTACTGCTTGAGTCACGCCTCCAGCCCTGACACAAATTTTCAAAAAGCAACACCCTAATGTCAATCAAACTGCTTGCCTAAAATCACCAGCTGGCTATAACCACAATGGAATTAGTTTGAGTCACAGATCTTAATGAGAAGACTAGGAGTAATTTAAGTAACTTAAGCTGAGTTCAGTAGGACTGATTTAGAGATATGTGCAAACAGGAGAGGAAGAGTAGAGATGGCAAAAAGGAAAGGAAGGCATCTGTAGAGACTAGAGCTGAGTCTAGTGCTTGACCTTTTCCCATCAGTTACACTTGGGGTAATGTTAAGATTTCTTCCATTCCTAACCTCCGTTCACCTTCATAGTTCTTACGACTGAATGATGTAACTTGTATCAATCCAATGAACCAGTGCTTAGGGTCAGCACCATTTTAGTGAGGGTCCTTATCACCCCATGGTTTGCCTAAATTATTGCAGCAATCTTTGCTCAGCCCAGTATCTCGGGTTCTCCTCTCCTTGGTCCATTCTGCATTCTGGTCCCAGAAGAGCTATTCTATTCAATCGAGTTGTTCCAATGCTGCCAAACCTATCCGTGGCTGCTGTAATCGTCCCTGGTCATTTCCTGCCTTTTTCTCTGTTGACTTGTGCTACTTTTCCCTGCTTTGGTCAGTTGGATACTCTCAGCCCACCAACAACCATGGCCCCTGGAAGCCCTGCTCTCTTTTGCTCAAGTAAATGCTTCAAAACCCATCTCAGTCTCCTTCTCCACAAACCACCTTTTGATGACTTTAACCTTCTCTAAGATCTGTCACAACCACCCAATATTTAGCAAGTCCCTAATATGTGAGTTGTTAGAAGAATTAAGAAGTTCTGTCAGAGACTGGGGATGTAGCTCAGTGGCAAAACACTGTGTAGCATGTTCAAGGCCCTGGGTTAGATCTCCAGCACCACAAAAAGGGAAGAAGGGATTAACTTAAAAATAAGGCCTTAGGAATAACTCTTTGTCACTTACACTGTTTGTAACAAAACAAACATAGGGTATCAAAAAGTCAACTACCCTACTGCAATTACTCAAGGTCTTAGGGTTCTTGTTAGGCCCCACACCATCACTTGCCACTCAGTTGGTCAATGTGCTCTCAGTTTCAACAGTCAAGTGTTTAAATACTCACAGTGAACTGGCCACTGGCTGTTGCTATATAAATGGTATACTGCTTCTCACTGGCTGTATCAAGGTTCATCTGGTTTGATTCTCCTTTGCTTCGAAGTTCTTCTAATGCTAACCTCACAGCCAGATACTTGGATAAGTGATCGACAGTGGCATTACCTGAAGTCTTTATGTATCTAAAAGAATAAATCATTAAAAATTTAATTTGTAAAGTATATCGAGAAAATGTACATAAACTATGGGACTGTTATTTTGCTAAAAAGCTGAGGAAAGCATAAGTGTTTTAATTACTGACCAATTAACAGAAATGGAGAATTTAAAACATTCTTATTAAAAAGTACAAAAGAGGAGAAAGTACACACTAGCTATTTGACTGCCAGTCACAAAAGCTCTATGTCCTTTACCTTCTGTAAAATGATATAAAATGAAGCCAGGCACCGGTGGTTCATGCCTGTGATCCTAGCTACTCAGGAGGCAAAGATCAGGAGAAGCCAGGCCAGGCAAACAGTACTCAAGACCCTATCTTGAAAATACCCAACACAAAAAATGGCTGATAGAGTGGCTCAAGTAGTAGAGTACCTGCCTAGCAAGTGTGACGCCCTAAGTTCAAACCACAGTACTGCTGAAATAAATAAATACATAAATACACAAAGTACTAAAGGTTAAAAAAAAGATCATATCCTTCAATGCCAATCAATCTGCTGGCTGCAGCAGCGAAAGGAATGGTAAGAATATGAACAAATTCCTTATTACCTCAAGAATTAAAATTTCTGGTTTTTACAACTGAGCACAGAAGTGCTAATCTTGGGATTTTTTTTTTTTTTTTTTTTTTTGCCATTCAATCACTCATTCAACAAATATTAAATGTTTGTCTGCATTCAATGACAGCAATATTCTGGAGATAAGTGGTCATTTGTCCTTTCCAGCACAAATTTTAAAGCCTACTGACACTCCAGTATCATTAAAAAAACAGATGGTCCTGCACAATGAATATGTCCTAATTTTTTTTTAAATGATCAAAAAGAAAGAAATTGTGCAGTCCTTTTTCCTCCACTACCGAGGAAGGATGTTCCTTTCAAGAGCTGTGCAAGAAACACATTAGGAAGAAAGAGCAAAACAATTTGAGCAGTCAGTATATCCAAGCTGAACCCTGAAAACAGGATGATAAATTCTGCTCCTACTTCTTATGCAAAATTGACTTTTTTTCTTTTTTTTTGTGGCACTGAGGCTTGAACTCTAGGCCTCATGTGTGCTAGGCAGGCGCTCTATCCACATGAGTCAATTTGCCAGCCCCAAAATTAACTTTTAACTCCCAATTAAACATTCTGAATTCAGATAATCTGAAACTAACCCACACACTTACCTTGTTTGTGCACTGTCATCTTTTTCCATAAGTGTGGGATGAGGCCTAAAAACTAATTCAATCTCACTAGCACCATCCATTACTGGATCAATTGCCACCGTTGCATTGTTATTATCAAGTTCAAGCCCAGAATCATCAGATGTTTTGGTCCGTTTGTTACTAGGGCCTGCTTCTTGGTTGCTGTGTGTGGATGCATTACTACAGTGTGAACTGTCACCATTATCTTCTGCACCACTACCATTTTCAATCTGTTGCTTCTTGCCTCGCTGCAATCTAGTTAAGAAAAAAAACAAAAACAAAACAAAAAGACACATACAATTTACCTTTAAAGTTTCAAAAAAATGTTTTTGGCAGTACTGATCCTAATACGCAGGTCCCCTACCACTTGAGCTACACCCCTATCACTTTTGGCTTTAATTTTCTAACCAGAGACTGGCATTTATGCCCAGACAGGTCTGGATATTGATCCTCCTATTTATGCTTTCAATGTAGCTAGGATGACAAACGCATGCACACCACCATTCCCAGCTTTTTATTGGTTGAGATGGCCCCTCTGAACTTTTGCCCAGGCTGGCCCTGAACTCCAATTCTCCCAATCTCCTCCTCGAGTAGCTAAGATTAAAAGCATGAGCTGCTGCACTCATTATTGGTTTGGTTTTTTGAGGGAGAGTCTCAGTCTCTCTATGCAGCCCAGGCTGGCCTCAACCTACTGAGTTCTGCAAGTGTAGGCATGCTCTACCAAGTCCAGCAAAAGCTACCGAACTTTAGAATTCTAAAAAACCTAGATAATTGAATTTGGTGAATTGAAAATGTCATCATTCCCACACGTTCCTAAAAATTCTAGAAAACCTCACCACACACATTTATACATGATTTCAACAAATGTTTTTATTCATTTGATAACTTTATTGAACAAAAGACTAAAGGAATCATTATCAAATCCTTATTTATATTTTGATCATTTTGATATGAGATTATAAGTCTAAAAAAAGGCATGATAAGGCACAATATGAAAATTTTAAAACTCTGAGAGAAGTTATTTATGTCTATGTAAGGCATAAATTAGAATATTCTTAAGCAAACAAAATTTAAGGAAAGATGAAAAGAACTCCATCCCTGCTGATGTCCCTCAAAGTCTGCTAATGCAATGTAAAATGATTCTAATGAGGCAAATGGAGTGGTACTTAAAAAACCACAGGCTTGGATACTAAAACTGATCACTAAACAAGGCATTCTGTGTATGTAATCTCATCCACAATTCAAAACAACCTGGCAAAGCAGTAGTAGTACCAACATTTTATAGTTGAGATAAAAAGTTAATTTGCCTAAAGTAACACAACTATTAAGTGCCAGGGCTAGAGCTAGTATGTGATACCAGAACACATTCTTTCTAGCACAATGCCTTCCTACTTACTTATACACACACACACACACACACACACACACACACACACAAAAGAGGAATATATGATAAAAAAGGAATATGAAAGAATAACCTGCACTTCTAAGAATAGTGTCCTTTTTTTGTGGGGGGAGGAGCAGTACTGGGGCTTGTACACCTCATGCCACCCCACCAGCACTTTTTTATGATGGTTTTTTTCAAGACAGGTCTTGCCAACTATTTGTCCAGGCTGGCTTCGAACCACAATCCTCCTGACCTCTGTCTCCTGAGCAGCAAGGTTAACAGGCATGAACCACTGGTGCCCAGCTGAATAGTGTCATTATTATGTTTTCTGCCAAACAAAGAAATAACTGCCTACTTGGTTAGAAAGATGATCAAAAATTTTCTTTACTTCAAATTAAATCCTGCTTCTGAAATCATTTCAAAACTGAAAGGGAATGACTAATACATTAAATGGCAAAACTGTGATTCAAAGAAATATAAACACAAAACACATACAATGGGATCTTATTTAAACTTAAAAAGGAAGAAAATCCTGTCCCATGCCACCATATGGTGGACACATTCAGGACACTTTACTAAGTCAAATAAGTCAGTCAGAAAAAGACAAATACTGTATGATTTCACTTATATAGGTATCAATTCACAGAAATAGAAAGTAAAACAGTGGTTACCAGGAGCTGGGAGGAGAGGGAAATGGAGTTATTATATAAGAGGTCCAAGTTTTAGACTTGGGGCCTAACTCAAGTGATAAGAGTGCTGTGACAGGGTCATGAGTTCAAACCCCAGTACCACAAAAAAAAAAAAAGTTGATAAGAGTTTTAGTTTTATAAAATGAAAAGAGTTCTGGAGATTAAATTGCACAACAATGTAAATGTAGTTAACATAACTAAATTCCATACTTAAACATGATTAAGATGATAATTTGTTACTTTTTTAACATAATTTGGAAAAAAAAAAGTATAAACAGGCTTGTATAATAGAAAAACAAAAAAAAATTAACTTGGTGACAACATAAGGACTATACTTAAATCTCCACAACTAAAGCAAGACAAAAGATTGTTTCAGTTGACCATAAATTAAAGTTCACTAACAGGTTTACAACAACTTAATGTTTTTATTTTTATCCCATATCTTTTCCCAAAAAAAAAAAAAAGGAGAGTAATAGCCTAGCCTATTCTATTCTACATTTATTAAATCACATCTATAATAGTATACACTGCCTTGATGGTACCATTTTAACAATGACACCAATAATCTTGAAAGTCAAATGAGGGTGTAAAAAAAAGTAGGCATGTGAACATTTAGCCTCTAAAGGAGCACATAAAAACATATCTATATCAAAGTATTTGAAAAACTAGAAGTAGAATCTAAAATATGTATAAAATCATCACCCTAAGTATTTTAAGAGCAGACCTAGACTGCAACACACAGAGACTAATTTTAATTCAATATAAGCAAAGAAATTTTAGGTAATTTTTTCACATACTCAGAAGTATTTACTGTCCTGTTACTTTAAGCTAAGTATGCTTCTAAGTACTGGAGTTGCAAGGGTCAAAAATCCTGACCATCTTTCCCTCTTAGGGTTTATATTCTAGTACAGTGGATGACACATGTCAGAGAACAGTAACTGCTCTGGAGGAAAATGAAGCAAGGAGGTCAAAGAAGTATGGAGTCCTAGTATGGATAGGGACTTCGCAGGCACCTCAACACAGTGAGAGTACATTGTGTGCACTATATGGAAGACAGTTTCTTCAAGAACAGTAAGTACAAAGGCTCTGAGGCAGAAATGTGCTTGGTGAGTTGAAGAACGGTAAGGAAGCTATGCTAAAGTTGCCTTCAAATGAATGAAGCTCCTATCCCACAGGCCCACCACCAGATATGCTTAAGTAAAACCAACAGACTGGGCTGGAAGTGTGGCTCAAGTGCTGGAGTGTCTGCCCAGGAAGTGAGAAACCCTGAACATAAATCACAGTGCTGCAGAAAAATAAGTAAAACCAAAAACTATCTGCCAAAGGATCTTGCCAATGAGATTCTTGCTCCTCATAAAGGACTAAATCGAAAACTGTTAACTTCCTTCCAACTCTTCAGTATGTATTATTCTTAAAATACATTCAACCATTAATATTTTTTTACTTTCATAAACAGGGTTGTAGCTCAGTTTAATGGAGCTAGAAAGGAGCAAAACTTTTAAACTTTAAGTCAGTGGTTTTTCACCTTGACTGTACTTCAGAATCACTTAAGGAGAGGGAGTGAATTTAACTAAGATATATTGTAAGCACTTTTGTGAATGTCACAATGTGCCCCTGGTACAACAACAATATGATAATAAAAAATAACTTTAAAAAAAAAAAAGAATCACTTAAACAAACTGAAATAATAGTATACAAAGGCCCCAGTTACTTAGCCTGGGTGATATCTGAAAGCCCTGAGATTTAAAAACTTCCCAAGTGATTCTGATGTTCAGCTAAGGTGAAAAGCATTAGGTTAAGATGGCCCTTTACTAGCATCCCCTACTATAGAAAATAATCAATGCCTGAAGATTAAATAAATTCAGAGATAATGTCAGGTAAGTTAAAAAGAATGAGGGTAAGCAGAGTGCCCAGATTATACAGGGTCTTAGAAGCTATCATTAAAGTCTTTTGGTTTTTAACCTAAATGTGGATAGAAGCTACTAGAGGATTCTAAACAAAGGAAAACCATGTGTGCTAAGAACAGATTATGTGGGAGTAGCATGGGAAATAGATCAGTTGGGAGACTAGTTTAAGATTTTACATAGCAAGCACCACAGAACTTTACAAAGCTAGGATCACAGCTGTAATCCTAGCTACTCAGAAGGCAGAGATCAGGAGGACTGCAGTTCGAAGCCAGCCCCAAGCAAATAGTTCTTGAGTCCCTATCATAAAATACCCAACCCAAAAAAGGGCTGGTAGAGTGGCTTACATGTGGTAGAGCACCTGCCTAGCAAGCATGAGGCCGAGTTGAAACCCCAGTACTGAAAGAAAAAAAAAAAAGATTTTACATGAAAGACAGAGGTAACCTGGACAAATCTAGATATATTACAGAGAAAGCTAAAAAAAAAGTTTATTCACACATTTGAATACAGTATCTGAGAAAGAGATTTAAGGATGACTCCAAAGTTTATGGCTGAAGAAAATAGGCTAAAATGATCAACAATGAGAAATACAGAGTAAGAATCAAAAGTTCAGTACTGAGTATGTTAATTTTAAGGTACTTGTTAGATAACCAAGAGGAGATGAAGTCTAAAATTCAGAGCAATACAGGCTGGTATATGTATTTGGGAAGTCATCAACATAGAGATGGTAATTAAAGCCATGAAAAGTGGATGAGGTCATCTGGAGACAGACCCTGTACTGAAAGAGCAACAAAGACTGATCCTGGGAACACTCTACTTTTAAGAGTGGAGCTCAAATAAAACTTAGAAGGAATGGCTAGTGACATTACTGGAAGCCAGGACAAATGGTCTCCTGAAAGCAAGGAAGAAAACTATTCAAAGGAGAATGAGAAATTAATTGTCAAATGATGGTAATTAAGATGAAGTCTGAGCTGGGCACCAGTGGCTCCTGCCTGTAACCCTAGCTACTCAAGAGGCAGAGATCAGAAGCAGTGAAGTCTGAAGCCAGCCCAGGCAAACAATTCCATGAAACCCTATCTCGAAAAAAACCCTTACAAAAAAGACTGGTGGACTGGCTCAAGGTGCAGGCCCTCAGCTCAAAGCTCAGTATCACAAAAAAAAAAAAGATGAAGTCTGAGACTCAATCAGCCATTAGACTGCGTAATGTGAAGGTCATAGATAACCTTCACAAGTGTAGTATGATGGGATAGCAAGGAATGTATTACCAGCCTGTATTGTTCTGAATGTCCGACTGGAGTGCATTCAAAAAAGAATAGAAAACAATCAAAAATATACACAGACAACTCTTTCAAGTTTTGCTCTGAAGAGGACAGGAAAAATAGAATGGTAGGTATAGGAAGAATGGATATGAGAAAGACTTCTAGTATTTTAAATAGAAAACCCTATCATGTCTGGATGTATGTACTATATCCACATGAAAAGGTAATCACACAAAACTACTATTTGTTACTTTACTTTCATTTTTCAAAATGAAAATTCAATTATGTAAGACAGTATATGGAAAAATGGTCACCATCCCTAGCCCTCTTTCCCATATACCTGTTCATGGCCTGTATCTTCAGTCCTTCCTCAATGCTGTGACTGAGTGCTTGCTGATTATTGTGCTTATTGATCCTGGCTAATACTCTCTCTTGATGAGCTTCATACTCATCACGACTTGGATAAATTTTACTGATGAGTGCATCAAAGTTTGGGTCTGGCCTTAGTGATCGTTTGGAAACTAGCTTTTTCCGACAGGTTGGGCATTCTTTGTTGCTAAATAAAAGGAAAGGAAAGAAAACTTAAACAACACCAACACCTTTAGGCTACAGACAAAAATATCCAACTTCTAAATAGCTATCTTTACATTCCAACACCTTTACAGAGTCACAGAAATTTAAATGATTAACCTGAAGTTTCTTGAAAATCTGACAAATAGATAAGCAAAGATTTTGCAAACCCCAGGCACTATCATTTGCCAAAAGAAAAAAATAGTTCCCAGTGGTGTTTTATATATAACCATTTTACAAATAAAAATGGACTCTTGCCTAATTCAAATTTCCCCTTTCTGATAGCCATGCCATACAAGGAAAAACTACCCCCGTTTACTTATGTCATCAATTCTTTCATTGAAATAGCATTTTATACATATATTATTTTATTGCATAGATAGAAAAACCATGTGTTTGTGCTTTCTAATTTCCTTAAAACAAATTCGTATCCTACAAATAATCTCAAAAATTACATAAAACTGTTTTAAAACAAAGATTCTGCAACGATTAAATCCTAGACTTTGTACTACTGTGGTGCAATGTAACTAACTAGTATAACTCATTTCAACATACCCACTTCTAAGGGCTGTGATAATGCAATCTGCACAAAAACGATGTAAACACTCCTTTGTAGTCATGGTGTTCTTCAACATATCCAAACAAATTGGGCACATTAACTCACTGTGTAGACTTCTAGGTGAAACCACAATTTCCAAGCCATCTGTTATTGCCTCCTGTAAAAGAGTCACTTTAACATTAAATGCTACTTAATTTCTTTTATTATGGACAAACTCAAATATATAAAATTATTAAAGATGATAAAAATAAACATCTGTGTATCAATCACCCAGCCACTATCATTGTTAACTCAGTCAATGTTTTTTTAAACTAAAATATATCAACTCCCTTCAGCCATACCCTCACTGCATTCTATAAATGTCCTTAATGCTAAAGATAGCATATTAATGTAAATTAAAGAATTAGTGGGACATTAGCTTTCTGTAATTAAAAAAACAATACATCTGAAGCCATATGCAATACTAACATTCATTAGTTATATGACTCTAAATAATTATTTAACATTGTTTTCCTACTTGCAAGATGAAGACATTAGAGCTAATGAACCCTAAGAATTCTTCCATCTTCAAAATTTAAACTATTTTTACAAATTACATATTTCATGTTGCCCATTAAAACATTTTAATAGTCGAATAAAAATACTTTCTAATTTATAAACAGTATAATAGGATTTCATTTTAAAATCACTTTTGAACCTTAAAAGGGCTTGTTCCACAGTTTTATAATAAAAGTAGCCAAGTTCTCAGGCTAACACACAAGCTGATTTAAATCATAACATATCTTAAGTATAACATGGATTACTGCGTCTAAATATTTCTAAAAATGTTTCTCTACCAAAATGCATTTGTAGTGCCAATGCGAAATTCCAGGACACATCTCCCCTACTGCTACTTAGTGAACCCTACCTGCTTTACTACCACCACTACCCACCCTTCCCACAGCTGGCATTAAAAACAAAGATTACCTAACTCTAAAGCCACCCACACACACTGGCTCCTCTGGACTGAGGAAAAGTTCTAGCATGGTGGGTAGTGAAAAGAAATATACAGGTAGAAGGGCTTCTCATATGCTGATGCTTTCTGTTTCCATAGTCTCTTATCACACTTCTGCTTTCTTTAACATAGTCAAAGATGAATTACTTAAAAGACATAGAAATTATAGATATTGTTCCATTAGAAACACAAGTAAAATATATTAACATTTATAACAGCTACATTATCAAGTGACTGTTCTGCTTCAGCCTCTACATATAAAGTACCTTCCATATTTCACTTTACTTAAACATACTTTTTTCCTGTTACTAGTTTTTAAATATATTTCTACTTTTCACATGTAGTAGCTGTACATATTTGTGAAGAACAGTGACATTTCAATAAATGTGTAATAATTAGATTAGGGTAACTGACATACTATTTTTGTGTTTAGAATACTCAAAATCCTCTCTAACATGCAAACTTCTGATGTCGGAATTATATGTATTTTATAGATGAGGATGATGGTCCAGGTAGTAATCAAGTCTCTTATCTTTTCCCTCTTTAGAACAAGCATAACAAAATCCAATCCTGGATGACCTAACCCACCTATGTTATCCAGGGCAGTACCTGTGCATGCGTATAACACTGTGGGGGAGGGGGAGGAAGGAGAAGGGAAATCACAATGGTATCACTAAAAATTTCACCAACTCAGAGGGACCTTAAACACTACTTAGCAATCAGTTAATCTAACACTTTTCCTTTCTTTACACTATTTTGTACTTTCTTCTATCTGTAGACTACCTTCTTCCACCTGCAAGACTACCTTACCTCGTATTTCACTTCCTCTCTACCAAATCTACAAATTATCTTCTCTCTTGTGCCAAGGAGAAACTATGCCTCTTCATAAATACATTCCTTCATTCCTTCATTTACTCTCAGGCTTACATAATCTAATTCTCTCTCTTCTTCATTAAATTCACCTAAGAGATTAGTCTTACAGTGGGGTTGCTACATAGTGAAATGTGAATGATATACCTTAGAATTGTACAAGGAGAAGGGAAAAAGACACTATCTTATAAATAAAATTGAATCTGAATACCGCATTCTCCTGAAGGTTTTCCTCCATTTCCCTGCTCCCCTGAATAGCCAAATTTCTCTAAAGAATCACATATTTATCTTTTTTCATTTTTTCAGTTACTGGATTATACACACAAATATTCCATGAACCAATGATGAAACTGCATCATGATTCCATTCAACCTTCAACATAGGATAATCTACTCAAGGTGAATTTGCATTTATCAAGGTGACTGAGTATACTGTACCAAATCTTTTAATAAACACTTTCCTAGTCACCATACTATTTCAGCATATCAGCAGTGCTGAACACATTAACTACAACTTCCTGAAACATTTCCTTTGGATTTCAAATTTTCTTTCTCTTACAATTTCCCGTATTTCCTTCCTTTTCTCCGGAGTCCCTTAAATCTCTTTCACTGGTTCTTCATCCATCACTTAGATTCTAAATGAAGAAGCATCTCTTGATGAGTTATGGGTTCTGTGTTCATCTCTCTCTCAATCATATCCATTCTCATTGCTTAAAATGTACTGACAACCCCTAAAATTTTATATTTAGCTAGGACTCTAGTTAACATCTTTGTCTGCTTGCTCTTACACCACCACAAATTTTAAACTAATGAGTCTAAGCTTAAGCATATTTATTGCCTTCAAACCTATTCATCCTCTAATCTTTTACTATCTTTACCTTCTCAAAATAGTCTTCCCTACTTATGCCATTATTACTTTGAACAGCAAAGGAAACTTTCCCTTTATACAACTTCTCATATGTGTAATTTTATGGATTTTTACTTGTTTAATGTCTATAAACTTAATGGGCTAGAGCCGTCTGTTTTATTCACCACTATTCACCTACAGACTAAGAAGGAATATACAAATTACTTGTCAAATCAATGAATGGTCAGCCAAACACACAGAACTACTGGTATATAAATTTATTACTATAAATTTATTACTGTTAAGTTTTCATTTTTTAAAACTGTGTCCCAGTTTACACATGTCTTATATCCCCCTAAATTATCTTAGTCTGTATTACCTGAGGTGTTCGTTGTAATTCATATAAACTGAGTTCCCATGTTTTGCTTAATGGTTGAGTTCCATTTGTCTGCACTGTCTGAGACATCGCTAGGAATAAAAAGGAGAGAAAAAACATTTTAGTATTTGAAAAGGAAATGCAATGGTCTGAATGCACATGTATCCACAAAATGGAAGTTCAAACTATTTGGGCTCAGAAAACAATATTCCAAAATATGCTCCATTGGACATTGCACCTGGCAAGCAGCAAACATAGGTGACAGCTTTCTCTGAAGTTCCCTTATGTACCCAAAGCCCACAGTCCACTGTTGTGTTCTTTGGGCTCATTCTCCTCCCCTAAAAATCATTTAATACCCCTCTAAAATTGCACACAGCTCCCTGTCCACCAGCTCCTTCTCCCCTATGAAAACAGTTAAGGCTCAATAATCTGGCCCTTCTTTGAAGTTTCATATTTTACATGGCTCCCGTGTATATAATATATCTGTATGCTTTTTCTTTGTCTAATCTATCAGTTTGTTTTAGCGGACTCCATTACTAAACCTTCACAGGGAAGGTATGGACTTCCCTATAAAACCTAATCGCAAATGCTATAGAACTGGAGGGTTTGGAGATTAGGTCTAAAGGATTAGGACCTTTTTAAAGAAGCTTATGGGAGCTATTCTGCCCTTCTACATACAGGTGTCACCTGTGAGTTAACAGTTCTTCAGCAGACACTGAATCTGCTCTTGCCTCTATCTTGACCTTTCCAGACTTCAGAACTGAGAAATACATTTTTGTTGAGTATAAACTAGCCAGTCTGAAGTATTTTATGAAAGCAGGTCAAATGGACTGAGACAGCAAGTAAATCTCCAAACTGATTTTTAGGAATTATGAATCTTGAAAATAACAACAGAAACTGTACACTGGTTCCTCAAAACTGAAAGGAAGTTCTAGAATCTATTTATAAATATGAATGACTTGACAGTAAAAGACTACCACTGATCTGAATGTACATCAGCTGGCATACACAAAGTACTTAGGGTTGGGTGTTTGGCTCAAGTGGTAGAGTGCCTGCTTAGCAAATGCAAAGCCCCAAGCACAACCCCTAGTACCTCCAAAAAAGTGTTAACATTACCAAAAGTACATAATTAGCCAGGTATCAGTGGCTCATGCCAATAATCCTAACTACTTGGAGGCTGAGATTGGGAGGAATGCAGTTCAAGGCCAGCCCAGGCAAACAGTTCAAAAAACTCCATCTCCAAAATAACCAGAGCAAAATGGACTGGAGGTGTGGCTCAAGCAATATAGTGCCTGCTTTGCAAGCTTGAAGCTCTAAGTTTAAACTCCATTCACACTAAAAAAAAAAAAAAAAAAAGACAAAACAAAAAACAAAAAGAATTCACAGCTAGAAAGAAATGCATGTAGATAAACTTCAATTTGATGAAACAATGTCTAAGCAGGAGTATGGACAAAACAGTATGAAATTATGGAGGATGATCATGTAATTTCAGAAGTTAGGGAAAAGCTTTCATAGAGATGAAATAAGTCTTTGAAAGTAAAAGGTCACTATAGTGAGATGAGAGTATAAAAGAAAAAAGGATTCTAAGCAAAAGAGAGCAAGCTTTCTTTCTGAAGACAGAAAGGCATGAAAAGCAAGTACGCTTGTGTTTGGAACATATTAGAAGTTCTAAACAGTTAAGTGCCATGACACGATCATTGTAACAGAAACTCAAGTATAGTGTAGAAGGCAGAAGAAAAGAACACAGTGAGCAGAAAGAACAATGAGGAAACTGTTTCCAAAAACCTGAGTGATATAAACTACCTGAATTAAGCAATTAGGCATGGAGAGACAAAATTAGATTGGCCACTAAAGTGGACACTATCCAAGCACTAAGGAACATCTGGAATACCCCCAAACACTAGTTAACACCTCAGTTACTCTAGGGCTTTGGGACATGTTAAAGACAATTCCTCTAAAAGAAGCTCCAGAACAGAAGAAAAGGTACCAAATATACACTGGTCAGCTAGCCTTGCTTATCTAAGAGTGCTGGAGGGACCTGGAATACTTGTACCACCTAGAGAGTAAGGACAAAGAAAATAGGCTAGACCAGCACAAAGATTTGAGCAGACCCCAGAACAAAGATTTGAGCAGACCCCAGAATCTCTGGTCAGGCTGGCTGGTGGGTCTGAAGCACAGACATCAACCCAGAGAATTAAGGAAAATGAAGATGCAGGGAAATATGTTCAAATAAAGGAACAGGAAAAATCTCCAGAAACTGACCCTAATGATATAGACTCATGATTTACCTACCAAAGAATTCAAAACAGCTATCATAAACATGCTCACCAAGGTCAGGTGGAATAATGCTTCAACATGAAAATTTCGTCAAAGAGATAGAAAACTTAAAACTACCAAACAGAAATTATGGCACTGATAAATACCCGAACTAAAAAATTAACTATGGGAGTTGAACAGTAGACTAGATCAAGCAGAACAAAGGATCAGCAGAACTTGGTAAATGGAAAAGAAAGTGACAAAAGCCTGAAATTCATGGGACACTATCCAGAAAATATAGTACATTATGTAAGACCTAAAAGGGAGAGAGAACCAGCTTAAAAAAAAAAAAAAGGAAATAACGAATGAAAACTTCTCAACTAAGGGAAGGGAGATGGACATATAGACCTAATGAACTCAAGAAATATAGACGTAGATACATTATAACAGTTATGCTAAAATGCAAGTATGTAAACAATGATGGAATAAACAGGACAAAAGAAACTGACTTTGAGACTTTAAAGCTGTACTATGGATTAGTCCCAAAGCTAAAACAAAAGGAACCCTGCATTCTTTTCTTTTTAATAGGCTACGATCTAAAATAGTGAACTTCACTGGACACTGGTGGCTCACACCTGTAATCCTAGCTACTTAGGAGCCAGAGATCAGGAGGATCACAGTTCAAAGCCAGCTCCAGGCAAATAGTTCAGGAGACCCTATCTCAAAAAAATCCTCCACAAAAAAGGGCTGGTAAAGTGGCTCAAGGTGTAGGCCCTGAAGTCAAACTCCAGTACAGAAATAAAAATAAAATAAAAAACAGTGGACTTCAAAAAAAAATGGAATGGAAAAGTACAAATATGAATAAATCTCCAACATGTAGTTGAAAATAGAAAACAGACAAAATGCAAACAAAAAGCTAGCTTTCAAAATAGAATAAAAAAACAAAAAAGATCCTTCATGTTGAAACAATCAAAGACAAAGGGGAGGAAATCTAAATTCCTGTCATTGAATTCAAGGTGAAATATACAGAAATACAGATGCCCAACTTCCTTTATAGACACAAGAGCCATTATTTCTATGTAAATTCTACTATAACACAATGAATCAGAGAACCAGAATTCCTCAGAATATGGGAGTTCTGTGAATTCTGAAAATTCACAGAAGGATTTCTAAGAATCCCAAATCCTAACCTATATCCCAACCTGTAACTGTTACCTTGGGATCAACAACAGACAGACCACTCCTGCTTCTAGAAAGCCACTCCAGCAAGTTAGTATGAACTGTCAAATCAAATATTCTGCTGAAGTTTGTTTCTAAAGGTACTATTTCTGCACATGACCAAATTCTATCTGATTTGTATTCCTGTGACAAGTTAGCTGTGGTTCCAGAATTTCCTACTATGATTGGATAAACTAGCATTTCAGTGGCTTTGGAATTTCTAGTTTTCATCTCTCTGCTGAATATCTGTATTACAGTATGTTTCTTGGTATCAAGAGTCAAATTGCTACCACATGGATTTTATCAGATACTAGGTAATCCCTGCCCCACAAAAAAAGACACAATCTTGCTGACTGCCAAAAGTATTATCTCAATTCTTAAGAACACATTAGCTGTGTAGATGTGAACAAACTTTAGTAGCCTCCCTGTGACCTGGCTAAGAAGAAAGAAGAACCTGAAACATTCCAATTTTGCCTCAAGACACAATTCACAAAGAGGAGGCTATGAAGTCTATCTGACTTGAAGAACATGATTCACATACTATAAAGTAAGTTTGATTTTCACTTTCAGTAGTCACTGGAAGAGCTCTAGAAAAATAGTCTTTCCTTGCTTTACCCAATAAACTGCCTCATTCAAATTTAACTTAAATTCTCCCCTCCTTCAAATCATTAATAAACTTTCCTCTTCATTTGCTTAGTGAGAAGTCATGTTTCTTCTTCTTTTTTTTTTTTTTTTCTTGGTGGTGCTGGGGTTTTGAACAAGGGTCTAGCACTTGTGTGCTAGGTAGGAGCTCTACTGCTTGAGCCACACTCCCAGCCCTTTTTGCTTTAGGTATTTTTCAAATAGGATCTCACATTCATGTCTGGGCTACCTGGACCACAATCCTCCTATTTATGCTTTCCCATAGCTAGGATGACAGGAGAACACTGCCACAGCCAGCTTTTTCTGTTAAGAGATGGGGGTCTCATGAACTTTTTTCCAGGGAGCCAGGAACCCCCACCCTCACATCTCTACCTCCAAGAAGCTCAGATTATAGATTTGAACCACCTTGCACAGATAATAAACCCATTTCTACCTCAAGTACTCCCGTCATCCAGCCAAGTTAAATGTACAATATATTTAGCTCCTATTTCCTGAATCTGAATGAACTGTGATTTCAACCAACAGCATTTGGGAGTCGCCTATATACAGCAACTAATAAGAGTTGAGAAACAGAGAGGGAACAGCATAGGTAACAGTCTGAAAGGCTGGTGAACAGAGCAGAAGTCAGTGAAGGAGACAGGAAATGAGATATCAGACAAAATCTTAAGGATTCTTTCCAGTGACAAGAATATGTTCCTAAGATCAGTACTGCCTGAAGATCTTTGCTGAACAACAAAACAATATCTAGGTCTACTTGGGGGTTGTTAAAAAAAAAAAAGATAAATTACAACACATTTAGTTTAAAAGCTTAATTGGCTTTTATTTATAATTCAAGAATTGGGCAACAACTTAACTCTATAAAATGAGTATGTTGTTGAGCTGAACAGAGGCAGAGCTGCCTGCCTTATAGGCAGAAAGAATTGAAGAAAACAGAAACAGAGCAGAAGTAATTAGGTCATTTCCAAGCACTTTCCTT